ATTGATGATGTCCCACCTGTATATAAATCTCATCATGACAAAGGAAAAAAAATGCACCATAATAATCAAAGCTATTCTCTTTCTGTATGCCAATTTTTTTTCAAAACCTATATAAATGCATGGTAAATCTTTTAATTATGGGTAAAATCATTTCTCACATCACCCAAAATACAATAAACATGCAAAAGCACGCTTTTTCGATTTTTATTACTATTAGCATCCTTCTTATTCAACATTGTCAATCTCAGTCTGAACAAAAACCAAAAGGTTTTCCAAAACAATTTGTTGCTATATTAAATCAAACATCTTATTTACAGTGGCAAGATTCTGGTGCACCAGAACAGTTAGTTTATGATCTTGTTAATCAGCGTGCACGATTTGATATAAAAGGTTGGAGAGCTAAACAAAATGAAACATATGTGATACAATATAAACCAAATGGAGCTGAACATGGATCAGTAAGTAACATTAGGCGTACAAAAAACGATAAAGTCAGTATATATCGTATTTTTCGAAGTCGTACTTGTCACAGTGCAATGTCCTAAACAACCTTTTATTAAAGTAGAAAACCTAGTAGGTCGCTATTTTTTTAAATTCAAAAATGATTCAAGTAGTAGCCACAGATCAGGTAAATTTCTTCTCTTTTTTAGCCTGCAGCAGAAGGTTATACTTTGTTTAATTTCAATCCTGATTATCCAGAAGTGGCCAAAGTAAGTTCTTCATCAAAAAAAAAAAATAAAGGCAACTTTTTTTTTGTTAAGGGTAACTGTTGGTATAATACTCCCCCAATAAAAGATTTTGGTGCATTTCCATCTACATGGATAACTGCTGACGGCGATATTGATATGAAACCATGGTTTCCATTACCCGATAATTTAGTTTATAATGGTGTTGAATGGATTCCAGAGTTACAAATTAATGCACTTGTAAGTCTCTTTAACACATACATCACTCTTTCATTGTCAAACATTGCTGTTGATCTATAGAGATATGATTCATCTGATATCTGTGATCTAAAAACAAGTGGTATTGGTAAAGTACCATGTTTAAGTTATTTTGAAACTAATGATGGTACACCAGTTAAAACATTAAAAGCAAGAGCGGCCACTGGCGTTTATGATAGTGATGAGTGAGTAATTATCAAACTCTAGATCCAATTTAGAAATTTAATCTTTCAGATGAGAGAGAGCGCAGTTATCTTAGGGCACTTATAACAATTGACGATTGAAATCAAATTTTCTTAGTCAGAAGTATAGTCACTATATTTCTGACAATAAGTGTTATAGTTTCTGTTTACGGACTTTCTGCTTCTAAAAAACGAAAACTCATGTTAAAAACTGTTTTCATACATATCTGAACACATTGATGTTTTTATGTTTATCCTTAATAACTATGCCTCGTTTCTGAAAACAGAAACCAGATATTGAGATTTTCAATTTTTGACTAAGACACATGTCGATTAGAGTAGATTCCAGTCACTAGGAAATATGATTTGTGTTGTTCTTTGGAGAGTATAAGGATGATTTGAGAATATTCAATAGTTTTTAGGCCAGAACAAGATTAAGCACTATGGAAAAAACTTAACGAAACTAGCATTTCGAACCTTCTATCTAACTGAAAATTTTGAGCTTTCTCATCGTCTTCTAACCAAAAATATCTTTTTTCTCAATCCCGTAGATATACATCGGTCATTTACTTATCATTTATAAATGGCATACCATCAGAAGTTGAAGCACTGTTTAATTTACCTGCACAATGGTCATCAGTATGTGGCAATGTTAATAACGGTAGTTTTTTATTTTATTTTATTAGTTGTATATATTTTAGTAGTATTTTTTTCTATGGCTTAGGTTACTCACAATCACCTGTACGTGGTTTTGTTGTTACACCAGATGGTGGTCTTGATAATTTTACGTTGACATTACAAACACCGCCTGTTCATTCACTGGGTGATGAAGTAACAATCAATTTTAGACCAAAACCAAACTGGTATTACAATGGTACAGAATGTGCAAAGTTTACAGTTAATGGCAATCCAAACATTGTTTTTACAAAAGAGAATTGGAATAAACCACAACGTGTTGATATGAAATTTTCAGCATATGGTTGTTGCACATATGAAATTGAAGGTATAGGTGGTAGTTATGAATGGCAATATCAAGAGCAAACATTTGTTGTTTATGGTTGTGATGGCATTGGAGGATATGGATGTAATGGAAAACAACCATGTGGTGCTTAAAAGATTATCGTATAAAAGAACCATCGTCAACTCTATTCTTCTATTGTTAAGAGAAAATCCATGGATCGAGCGAGTCTACAAAAGACTCATCAATTAAAAAAAAATTTTTTTCGTGCGCATCTGAAAGACCAACTTCTGAAATTAATAAACCTAAATTTTAATTTCTAATATTGTTTTGTGGAAAAGTTAGCAATTGTTGACTTTTGGGATTCCGGTTTTCACCAAAAAATGTACCCAACATGTTAATTTAGCTAGCTCGACATCTGGTCAACCAAATTTTTGTCTATTATAGTCTAAAATAGAGCACTGAAAACTAAACAAAATTAGTTATTCATATATTATATATTTTCAAACATGGGTCGAACGAGCGGGTGCGAGAAAGTCCTTTTTGATAATGGATCGACTACTGTCCTTCGAACTCAATGAGTTTCAAACTGATTTTAACATATGCTGTGTAACTTTTTAACTCTATAGCATGATAGAAAAATATTGAAGAGAAGAATAGTACACTAAAGTATTTGAGCTGTATGTGAATGCTTTTTCAAAGCACGATCTCAAAGGAGTGTTGAAGTATATTGGATAGAAATTTGCATCCCTTCCCCCTCCCCTCCCCCTCCGCTCTTTCCCAATCATAGACTGTGGTAAACATTATTGATATACGATTAAAGATCGTTTATTTATAAAATCTCATTCGAATATATGAACTACTTCCTTATCACAGTTCTAAAGGATTGAATAAAGAGTTGTGAACAAATCTATCACAAAATAGATAGAACAAAACGATCTCCATATGATTAGCATCAACAACGTTGTTGTGGTGTCGAATGACTCTCAATGGTAGAATGAATAGATAATTGTTCTTATAAGTGTTGGTACATTGATTTCAATTAATCGAAATATCGATTAGAACTTGACTTTCTCAGATATTTTTTGCTTGATTATTCTATTGTGTAGAATATATTATTCGTTCTTCAAACGCCTCTCATTTGTTTTTTGTTTTACGTATTTGTGCACGTTCTCTATACAGTCTAACGTTGATATCATAAAGAAAAAAAATATTTTTCTTTTGTCGATTCTCTTCTAAGTATCATTGAGTGAAAATACATTCACATTTATTTTACTTTTGTGCTTTGACTCCATGTAATGTCTACACAACAACAACGCAACACCGATTCATTATTGAACAATTTGCCAGAAAGAAATGCCAGTAAATCAGCAACTAACGGAGCTGCAGGTGGTTCGACTAATGCCATTGGTAGTGAGAAACGTAAAGAAGATTCAATTCCTATAGGTAATAACGATACTAGTGCACAACACAATGCTCCTATCGACAAACATGGCGATACATGGGGCGGTGGTATTTCAGGACACAACAAGCAATACCGATAAAGATAACAATTAATAAAAAACTCAAGATGAACAAGGACATTTTCTATATTATTTTTTAATCAAGTTTCTTTTATTTTTCTTAACTTAAGATAAATATTCGTTCGAGATCTATTCTTATCGAGATACTAACTGAAAAAAAGAGAATTTGATAAAACAAATTGATCTTATTCAACTTTTTTAGTTCTATAGAAAGAATAAATCGAACTGAATAACCTGTGTTCCAAACAAATAATGTTAGTAAATAATATTCTTTCTGTTCTCTCTGAAATGAGTCAAAGAAGCGTGTTTACATATTATTAATCACGTAAACAATTGCTGCTATTAAATATTATCTAAGGTAGACCCCTTGTTGTAGTCGACACACATAGCTTTATCCAACAAGCAAAATAATATTTATTTTTTTTTTGGAAAATAAAAAAGTTTCATGTCATCATCAAGTAAACAGTCGAATTTTATTCAATAGAAGGTTAAAAATATAGATTGATTATCTATGGAAGTTTTAGAAGAAACTGGTGCAGCTGATCAATATGGTAGTATGAATGATCAACTGATTCTGGAATAGCTAACAAAGATGAGCGAAGTGTCACTGAATTGAATAAGTTTACTATTGAATTTTTTTCAAAAAACTTCTTATTAGAAATGAAAATAAAATTATTATTTATTAAACAAAATTTCCAACAAATATTAAATTAAATAATAACAAAAATTGTGATATAGTAGACTAATCATTTTTTTTGTTATTAATAATCTCATTTATTCAAATTTTCATTAAAAAAATTCATTTATTTTTTAGTTTTCTTATAACAACATATTTCATTGATTTTTCTATCATTTTAATATACAAAGAAAAAGATTCTTGATTCTTTATCCTACAGTATAAAATAATGTAAATCTTTTTCTGACTGATTCAACACGAGTTTTTGTACGACAACAGCAACAAGATCACATGGCAAAAGATCGATCAAACCGATTATAGCTGCAGTATCTAATAATCATAACAGAACTAATTCGAGTTTTTTTCTAATATTTTTTGTTATGTTCTACTTCCACTATACTTAAATTAAGCGTGTATGTATGAGTAGGTTTGAACAGATGAACCAGATCATGCTCAGACATCGATTCTTCAGTTATGTGTTGTTCTATTTATTTCAAGAATGTTTCCCAAATCCATTGTAATATTTGTCAGAAAAAATTAAAAAGAAAATGAAAAAAAGTTGAAATGAAATCAATGCTATGGATAAACGATGTGTAAGGGAAGAAAAAGTTTAAGGATTATATTTCGATTTATAGTTCGTGATTAATTGAACAAGTAATAATATTATAGTGATAAATTTCAAAAATGTGTCATCAACAGAAAAGAACTGATCGATATCTATTCCACATTCGTTTTCTTTTTAAGAAACAACATTACTTGTGCAGTGAAAGAAACTATCATTGCTGATGCAGCTTTGATGACCAATGCTTTATTAACGATAAATCCAAAGATATTTACGTAATAAGTATCTTTATCGACAGAAAATTGTTCAGCCATCGCACTCAAATAATCAATATTCCAGTCGTTGTCTTGAAATTTACGTTTTGTTGATTGTACGAATACTTCCTTTTTCGTACGCAAAAGTAATCCTTCTACATTATCCAAGGCGGTATTGATAATTACAATATTGTATAGAAAAATAAGGACAAGAATAATTATAATGCCTATATCAATTATTCCTAGAAGAGTTGTCAATGTTACAAGACCACCGGCTTGATAATAAATTAGCTGAATAATAGCAACAATGCCCAAAATTGCAGCAAAAATGACTCCACCACCCATAGCAGCCATAGCAAGCTAAAACAGAAACAGTAAAACAAGGTTTCGACGAAATTCTAGAACGATCACAAGAACATATAACGAAGAGGAAAGAAATGAATTGCTTTGTACTTTAGTATTTCAGTTGCACTAGAAAACTGAAAATTCACTTATTCTATAAATTATCATGACCAAGAATTTTCTGTTACGATCCTGCACAATTACGATTCTGAATTATGGAAGGGTTACGATGATTACTGTGAGAATTCAATCAATTAACATTCGTATTTAACTATGTGTAAAGCGATTTGTATTGTTCCCGGTTATTTATCAATGCACTTGACCGATGGCACAAAGCTTGATGCATAATACAGTTGAATTAAGTTCCTGCTAGTTTTTTAGAAAATCTACTCATATTCTGAAACTGAAACTTTTTTTTGGAAAGAAAGCTTGTCTTGGCCTGAAATTTTGATTACAATTACCTTGTTTAAAATTAAAATTAGTTACCACTACGACAATTGAGACGACCTTTAGGCTATTTCCCCTGGCATGTGTACATGTGTGTCACGATCTGTGAATTATGGAATCATAAATTCAACTTTCTCGTTCTAAACTTCAACATGCATTATATAACAATCGCTTTTCGAAAAGGGTGTGCCCGATTCAATCTTATCAATTGTATTCTTACTTGGTAGTTGAGCTTATTTTTCAATTTGGTAACCTGACGTAATAGGGCAATGAAAAGTTCAAGACTATATTGACGTCTTAAATCTAAATAATATTCATCATCACGCTTTTGTGTAACTCCATATTGATTATTATTGGTCGGTATTTGTAAAACGAGCCTGAGCTTCGTATAGTAATTAGAGTACAAGTAATATCCATACAAAATCATGAAAAGGTATATTAAATAGAGAGGAAGACCAAGTACATAATAGCAGACGTTAATAAGTTCGACCTGAAATGGTTTTGTCGTGTTCGGAAACGTGTAATCACGTCTATATTTACGATAAATTGTTGGTACACACGCACGTAGTACTGCAACAGCAAGAACAACAATAAGTCCGACTACTTGCCGTAAGATACTCAATTTCGTTTGTTTCTTTTCTTTTTGATAGATACGAGTGAAAGTATCTTTGATTTTATCCATAAAAAATTTATTACGATTATTACTTGGTTCATCTTCTGCCGATGATGACTTTCTGTTACTTCGTTCTAATTCTGCTACTGTCATACCCTGACGATTGTCAGACAAAGGCATACTCACTACAGCTTTGTGTTTAAGAAAATCCAATTCAGCATCATCATAGTTTTGTTGCATCACTTTATTCTTTGTGTAGTCAGAACGCATTTCAAAAGGTGATCGATAGACATAAATGATGAAAACAAAACCAACGATCAATGCAAACGGCCAATAAACTTCAAGTGAACTAACATGCCAAGCAACGTTTTCGTCATGAAAGATATGAAAAACGATAACATTTAAAATGATCAAATAGAAAGTACATGCAATTAATCCACCAACCATCGAAAAAATAACGATAAGCAAATATTGAATGACAGTATATTTCGTTTTTTTGCTTTTTATATGGAAGTACCAGAGTATTTCAAGGACAACAAAGATTGGTAGACCAAAAATATATAATACAAAATATCCAATATGTCGAAGAATATTTGATAATGAAAATGGATTTGGAGATTCGTCACTGCTTCGTTGGAGATCGTTTCGTGTCTCTTTAATGCTATTCGACATTCTTTCGATTTCTTTACTCATGTTGCGAATCGATGGTGGCGTCGAATCGTGTGGATTTCGGAATGTACGAATACGTATATGTTCGGTCAATGTATCGATAATTAATGTTCGAAAATCTTTTTCAGTATAATATGCACTCTTTTTATTATGACCTTGTTTATAAACAATTGGAAGAAGCACATCGGCATTTAGTGGATATCGTTCATTTTCGATATATTTAAATAGAGTTAATAGAGCGACACTGCATTCATCCTCATCTAACTGACCTGATTTATCTTTATCACAATACGAATAAAACTCAAGTATCTCATCACACTTTGTTTTGTCTCTCGATGTCAAATCCGATTTCTCTTCGTCTTTGTCATGTTTTTTTGTTAATGGACAATGAATGGCTG